CATCTTATATATTATAACCTGGTATCCACATAGATACTTAAAGAAATATATAAATTTATACATAAAGGCTAAGTAATGTATAGTAGTTTTACTTTATTTAATATTTTATCCCAAGGTAAACTTTTACTAGTATTTGTTCGTATTTAGTTTAGATTTTTATATAGTTATTTATTATTATATATATATTATATTTAATATTAAATAAATATTAAAAATTTTTTATATATTATATATATAAATTATTATATTTTTAATTGTTTTGTTTTTTCTCACTTTATTCTACATATTATATGATACTTACAATACATAAAATTATTATTATTTAGCCATGGTCAAATCTATTTTATATATTAAATATAATCATTATATTATACTATATTATACCTATATAAATATATATATATAATTACATGAATAATTTAGAGACAATTTATTATAATTGGTAAAGAATATAATGATTATATAATTGACTATTAAGTTATTATTAATATTTATAAGGGTTATAAATTATAGACAGGAACACATATTATAAATATATATAGACAGTAAATGATATATATATATAGAATTTATAATAATGAATTATATAATAATAAATAGATGATGTAAATTAGACAATTAAATTAGATGATCAATTAGTATACATATGTATAATATAGAAGGCATAGTATATCATAAAATGGTATTACATTATAAACGCTACACATCTACAGGATGAGAAAAAAGGACTAAAGGAGGAGATAAAGAAGGTAACACTCGATATAAATATAATGATTCGAAAAAATATAAAATATAATTTGTCACCTAAGCGTACGTTGAAATCTCTATGCCTAATATTTTAATTATTCATAATCTTTTCTTTACTCAAGCCTCTATTTGACGAGTTGGTGTAGAAAAAACCACACTTTCTTGTTTCCAGTTTTAAATGAATGATGTATAGATATATATATAAATATATGGGATGGGTGTGTTTGATTGTGGGTGTGTGTGTTGGTGTTGTTGTGTGTCGTGTGTGATTAGGATGTGTTGTGTGAGATTGTGTTCGTGTGTGGTGTATATTGTGTATGTGTCCGTGTGTTTGTGGTGGTGTGTTCGTATAACAATGTATATAATGTCATGTAACTTATATATATACAATATAAATATTGATGTATGAGTTAGTATATATATATAATGTAATTATTATATTTAGATTAGATTATATAAATATAAATATATATATATACTATATAGATTAACATATATATAAACATATACGTATACATATATACGATATATCCATATATACAAATTATAATCACGAACCACAACCACCTGAATATACAGAAAGGTAAACAAACACATAATCACACTGGGGAAAAATACACAAACCCTCGGTAAACTGACCACTGCTGAATAATCATTAAGAGATACTTTTTCATTTCACGACACACCAAATGAAGGTTAGTTGTTTTGTTATCAATCTACGTTACTAATAGGTCACGTTTTCAACAATCAACTATTAATATAGGAGCTGCTGCATTAAATTCCTTTTCATCTTTAGGCTTGAATAAGCAAGTTATCATAGCACGGTGGACGTAATTATGTGGAAAAATTTCAAAGTTTTTTTTTTTTTTACCGAGTGGGGAAATTATTAAATAAAATGGAAAAGTCCAAAGTATCAACAGGAATTTGGCGCTTAATTATGGTTTTGGGTTGGTGAGTATTAATAGTATGTTTAATTTATTTTTTTTATTATCTTAGTACATAATATTTTGCAATAATTCATTTTATTCATTTATCTTATATATTTTATAACTTCATAAATGATGTCATGTTTACGGTCATAAATTTCAATCAGTAACGTGTCATCGCAGGGAGGTAAGAAATGTAATTGGTTTTAATGAGTCCTATCGGCGTTTTATAGGTTTAATTAAATTGTAGCAAATATTGTGGGAATTTATAAGACTAAACGGTGATGTGGCTAAAAATAGGTTTATATAGACACTATATACTTTTCATAAATAAAGTGCTAGGAACTAACTAGAAATATATAATATATTTTGCTTTACTATAACTCGACGCGGCAGCCCATTACTGTAAGTAATAACACGTTACAATACATCATGCCTTCATTAGTACAATAGGTTGGTTTATTGTTAATATTTAACTGTATGTCATTTTATATTTGTTTATGATTGTCATATATTACGAGCAATTGGTACTATCATAAATTCTTTTAAACTAATCAGCAATTATCATCAAATATTTGCTAATTTATTTAGTTTTATATATAGTTAATATTAATAATTGTCATTAATCTTCATCATAAATTAGCCTGTTTATTATATATGCATTAACTTACCATTATCATATTAGGCATTATTTATCAGTGCTTTTAACACACGGTATTTGGTGAGATGGAAGAACTTTGATAATTATTACGTACTATAATAATAATAACTTGAAGCATCTCTAGCAGAGGCGCCATACTCCTTTCGCGGCCAAGGGAATAATCCTCGGGATGCATATAAAAA